AGCCTAGCTGGAGGTTCACTCTGCTCCATTGGCTCAATCGGCTGGAGCCGAGATCCAAGGGCCACTGTCTACTAGTCCGGTCTGCCCTTGGAGTCCACAGATGAGGATAGGAAAGTAGGAAATTGGCTCAGCCACTCCCTGACATTCCCGTCCAGAGGTGGGGGATCAAGGAGTGGCAGACACTGGGAAACCTTTCACCCGAGACTTAAGACTGGTAGCCGATGTGAATCGTCTTTTAGGTGGCTAATGGGTGCCCCAGACACATTTTGAGATTAAAAAAAGTGCAGCATTAAGTCAGGAATAAGAGTGAAGCGTGGATCTCCTATTTGCAGTGGTGAGCATCGGGTTCTATGAAATTGATGAAGTTAGAGGCACACAGAGAGCACGTAAAGGAAGTAAGGCGCATCCCTGCCTCACCCAGAGGCCAGGGCAGCCTGAAGAAGCAGGCTGGAAGTCAGACAGACAGAGAAAGAGATACACTCCTCACGGATACCCAGTCGGACTGTCAGGGTCTGATTTCAGACCTGTGGACCTTTGAGAAGCCGCTGAAGTGCAGCCTCAGCCTAGAGTCTCGCAGTTGCCCATGGCTTTCCTCAGTCCCTTGCATCCAAGGAGAGCCTATGAAAGGGAATCCTGGCCTCCACTCAGGTGACTTTCCCGGCACCCAAGGGAGACAGGGGATCCACTGAGGGAAACCCTGGGGAACCTGTTGCTCCAGACTTTGAGATCGGCAGCTGGGCTAGTCCCATTTAAGTGGCTGATGAGCGCCCGATGTTGTGTGTCATAGACGGCTTCCTTGTATAAGGAGAGTGAAAGGAAAGGAATGTTTGGATGCCGATATTCACCTCTGAAGTGATCCCAGACGAACCCCCAAAGATGATGCTGGGTTCTTGTTCACGGAGCTGAAGAATGAACTTTGCAAACACTCAAGGTTAGAAGAGCAAGGCAGAGGCTCTTATTTAGAGATAAAGTGAGAGGACAGAGCTCCTGGCTCACGCCAGGAGGGGACAAGAGAGAGTGTGGTTGTGTCGTTGTCTAGGGGTTTTATGTACAGTTGAGGGTTTTCAGGAATGGGGGTAAAGGGCTAGGGGTGCAGATGAGTAACAGAAGAAATTTGCTGCTCTGATAATTTCTCAGGACAGCTTTGTCCCTTCTTGGAGCCTATCAATGAAGACCACCTGCTCCGCCCCTAAGGTGGGCTGGGCTGTTGCCTGTTCGCTAGAGTGTGCTAAGAATCTTCTTAACTTTTTGGGCTGTTTATAACTGGGTTTGCTTGCAAAATTAATCTTTTGCTCAGGTTGCAAATTACTTGATTAGGATTAGGGAAGGGAAAACAGCACATAGGTACAGTTAAAAATAAGCTGGGCCTTTTAACAGACTAAGGTAAATTTTACAGTGTCATGATCTAATTGATACAATAAAGTCATGGGTTGTGCTGAGCTGCTTTTCTTTATCTGCAGAGCACTCAACATTCCAGGCCAAATTGCTCCTGGCCTTTTGAGCTTTAATTGATTTCACTGAAGAATGTCTATATTCCTAATCTGGTATTTTTACCCTAGAAAGTTAGTGTGACTGATTTTGCCTAATGCTTAACACAGTTTCTATAGGGACTTCTTTGCACATTGTTAGGTTGTTCTGGCTGTGATTATCTTGCGTTGCCTTTTTTTTCCCAGAGGCCCTTACCCTACTCTGACTAAAACCGTGGTCTCTGTCTCACCTGTCCATACCCTGCCTATCTATCACCAGAGATTAGTCTTGTCAGCTTTTGAAATTCATATTTATTTTATTTGCACATAAACATTCAAAGACTTTAGTCATCTGAATGTCCTGCTTCAGTGAATGCTATTTTTGGCCTCTGATGTTCCTCTCTTAAGTGTACTTCATGTGCCTTCTGCCCTGGGGAAGACTCACGTCTCACTCGAAAGTTCTCAAAAGATTGCATGAATGAATGAGTTATAGCCGCGATTGCATGGGTGGCGGGCAGAAGGGAGTCAAGACAGGTTCTAAAGGGCTGAACGGATTGGACAGCCACGTGACGGGACCTCCTTCCTAACAGGTAAGGCGGCCACGTGACACCGAAGCGCCTGCGGGGCGACAGCCATTTTGAGGGGCGATCACATGAGAGGACGCACGGTCAGCGGGGCGCTCACGTGACTAGGGGCGTGCTGCGGCCGCCCGGGCGCACCCGGCGAGAGGCGGCGGCCGGAGCGGCAGTGATGGACGGGTCCGGGGAGCAACCCAGAGACGGGGGTGAGGCGGGAGGCAGACGGGCGGGAGGAGGGCAAGCCCCCCCGCCGGCCGGTCCTACGATCGCTCCTGTCAGCCTGGAGCCGTGCGATCTCCAAGCACTCGGGCAGAAACTCCTGGATCGGGCGCTACCAGCCTCCAGTCCCCTCCCTCCCGGGAGGGGTCCTCGGCTCTCTGGCTTCCGCGCCCCGATCCCTTGCTTCCTAACGGTCTTGTACCCCAGAGAAGCCGGAGACCCTAGAACCCAAACCCCCGGGCAGGCCCGGGCTTGTCGCGGGCACCACTTCCTGGTGGGAGGGGCGGGTCTCCCCTCTGCCCCTTCAGGAGGAGGGTCTAGATGCATGAAGTTCCCTTAGCCGCCTCCACCGGAAGAATGTAGGATACAGGCCAGGCTCCGTGCTTTTCTCCATCAAGGAGGGGCTCAGTGGCCCAGGCCCCCCAGGCATTTTATCCACCAGGGACCTAGAAGTCCAGGGCCCCCTAGCGTTGTCCTTCCTCAGGCATCATGAGCAATCCCAGTTCCCTGGATCCCCTAGGGGCAAGGGTCCAGGCACCTCTTCCCTCCTTTCTCCTCTAGGGCCCACCAGCTCTGAGCAGATCATGAAGACAGGGGCCCTTTTGCTTCAGGGGTGAGTTTGAGGTCTGATTATTGCGGAGCAGATTTGAGGAGTGACACCCCATTCTGATTCTGCACCTTCCCCACCATTTCCGCTCTAGTTTCATCCAGGATCGAGCAGGGCCAATGGTGGGGGAGACACCTGAGCTGGCCTTGGAGCAGACTCCCCAGGATGCCTCCACCAAGAAGCTGAGCGAGTGTCTCAAGCGTATCGGAGATGAACTGGACAGTAACATGGAGCTGCAAAGGTGTGGCCCCTAGGATCCAGGAGTCCCGCCACTGGTATCCTTCTCCCTCAGAATCCAGGAATCCCAGCTCCCAACCCCTCTTCCCCTAGGAGCCTGGAGTTCAGGCCCTCAGGCCCAGGAGTCTGGGGCCCCATCCCTGGACTCGGCACTCTGCGCTCCCAGCCCTACCCTCCCTCAGATCTTAAAACTCCTTCAGGGAGTTATTTTTCTCACCTGCCTGAGTGTCCATGTTGCCCTTTTTCCCCGCACTGGCAGCTTGCTTTTCACTGCAGCCTGGCTTGGGCCTCGATTTCCTTCTCTTTGGAATGGGCTGGTGGCCCAGGTTTCTGCATTCTGCCTGGTTCCCCTGCCCAGCACTGGCCATCCTCTTTCCTGCAGGATGATTGCAGCTGTCGACACAGACTCCCCCCGCGAGGTCTTTTTCCGAGTGGCAGCCGATATGTTTTCCGATGGCAACTTCAACTGGGGCCGGGTAGTCGCCCTCTTCTACTTTGCCAGCAAACTGGTGCTGAAGGTGGGCATCTGCAGGGCAGTGAGCCCAGGGTGGCTCCCCTCAGACCTCCTCCTCAGAGTCATGAGGTCAACCTGTGGCAGCCCAGTAACTGGAGGGACAGCCATGGGCTGGTTGTCTGCTTCATTCATTGGTTCATTCATCAAAGATCTGTTGGGCCTACTATGTGGCCACCTGTACTTGGCACCCTGATGTATAAGGATACAGCTACAAACAGAACAGTCTAGGTCCTTGCTCTCACAGAGCTCCTGTGGTCTAATGAGTGTTGAGAGCCATAAGCTAGGGTGATAGGATTGTGCCAAGCAGTCGGGGAAGACTTGTAGAGCCAAAGTTGCAGTGATAAGAAAGAGGCAGTGATGTATAAGGTATAAGGATCAGGCGAAAAAGGCAGGTTAAAGCACACTGCATGTGCAGAGGCCCTGAGGTAGGACCAAGTCTGGTATGTTGAGGACAGGGAGGAGGCCTGTGTGGTTAGAACACAGGAGGGGGTTGGGTGGGAAATAAGGGCAGATTGCAGGGGCTCTTGTGGGCCACTTTAAAGGCTTTCTCAACGCTAAGTGGGACAGAAGTGACCGACTGCTTTTAGGAGAGTGAGGGGACCTGATTCATAAATTTAAGAGATTACTCTTGCCTGTATAGCAAAATGTTAATTGTGGAATCTAGGTTGTGGGTATCCTGCTGTTCACTGTAAAATTCTAACTTGGCTCTCTGAAGATTCTCATGATTAAACATAGTGGGAAGGGAAGCACAACAAATTGTTCTGGCCATTGTGGGTAGAAAAAGGGATTTATGGGACACAAGGGCAGCAGTACCTGTAACAGTCCTGCGAACGATGACTGACCTGGACGCAGGTGGGAGCAGGGGAGGTGGGGAAGTAGGCTGCTTGATACGTTTGCAAGATTGAGCTGATGTGGCTTGAATGTTGGAGGTGATGGGGACAGCAGTCCCAGTGATGGTAGACTGGATGTGGAGCTGGAGACAATGGTAAAAGCAGCCCGATAGAGGGAGGAAGGGGAAGGAAAAGCAACTGGGGAGCCGGTCATGGATGAAGTGTATCAGGATTTACCTGGTCTGAAGGTCAGAAAAGCCCTCTCTGGGGACGTGACCTTAGACCCAAGCTTGGGGGATGAGTGAAAATTTGCTTGGTTGAGGCCTGTTTAAGCAGAAGAATCAGCATATGCAAAGGTCCTGAGAGGCAGGAAAGAGTTTGGTGGGAATGATGATCTGGAAGAAGGCCAATGACACACAGAAAAGTGGAAAATTGGAACGTGATCAAGTCAGAGCCTTCACACAAGGCCTTGTTAGCTGAGCTGTGCCCTTTAGTCTTTATCCCTTGGGGTACGGAGGAGCCATGGAAGGTTTGTGAGCAGGGCAGTTGACAGGAAATAGTTTAAAATGTATGAAGCTCATTTGGAGTGGAAAAGAAACTGCAGGGGGCAGGAGGGGAGGCAGAGTTGAGAAAGGAGGTTTGGGGCCACTCTCCCCAGGTAGTGGAGATAAGTTCCAGCTCTAAGGCCCACCCCACACCCTGCAGGCCCTGTGCACCAAGGTGCCCGAACTGATTAGGACCATCATGGGCTGGACAATGGACTTCCTTCGAGAGCGGCTGCTGGGCTGGATCCAGGACCAGGGTGGTTGGGTGAGGCCTCTTAACTCCCCTCCCTGACTCCTCTGGGACGACCCCTGGGCCTCTCCCAAGGTACCACAGCGGTGCCCCTCCCCATTTGGGGATCACCAGGTGGTCTATAATGTGTTTCCTCATAAGTCTGACCAACCTCATTTGTCTGGTACCCATGGACTTCCTGACCCCTAGCCCCCCATGATTCCTGTCCTGACTAGTACCTTCTGCCCTCCCTGGTGATCCTACTTCATCTGGAACCCCTGAAGTTCTTTGGTAATGCTTTGACCCTAACTTTTTGGTACCTGCTAATCTAAGGCGCTTTCTCCCACGCATGCCCTCTGACCTCTCCCTGACCCCTCATGTGCCAGCCTAGGGGCCGCCCCTTGGTCAAATTGCTGAAGTAACTGTTCCTGTCCCCAGGATGGCCTTCTCTCCTACTTTGGGACACCCACGTGGCAGACCGTGACCATCTTTGTGGCTGGAGTGCTCACGGCATCGCTCACCATCTGGAAGAAGATGGGCTGAGGTCACCAACTGCCTTGGACTGTTTTTTCTGCATAAATTATGGCATTTTTCTGGGAGGGGTGGGGACTGGGATCATGGGCATTTTTCTTACTTTTGTAATTATTGTGGGTGGGTGTGGGAGGGAGTGGTCTTGGGGGGCAATAAACCTCTTTCAGGCCACACCTCGGAGTCTGAGTCACTGGGCCCGCTCCCTGGCTTTTGCAAGCGACCAGGCTTTATATGCCAACACATCTTTTTCTGAGAGTGCCCCGTGCCCTCTGTGGGTTAGTGAGTTAGGTCTGGCCTAGCCCTGTTGGACAACTCGAGATCACGTGCCCTGGCCTAGGGTGTTGGCGGTGGAGGCAGCACTGGGCAAGACCTGAGCCCGACAGAGGAGGCTGGGGGCAGTGCGGCAGGCAGAACCAGGGCCTGGAACCTTCTGACATACGGAACCGTTGTACAGTTACCTTAGGTGAATGGGGGAGCAGACACTGGGAGTCCTGGGGGAGTAGAAGGCTCTGGAGTCCTGCAGGGCAACTGCGTCAGAAGGCTGAGGAGTCCGGGACAAGAGGGTCCAAGGGAGAGGACCAGGCTTGAGCCTGTGGCGGAAGAGAAGGGGACTTAGCTTGAGACTAACAGGCTATGCGGAAGGGGCTGGCTCAGTAACTGGTGGGGCCTCCCAGGGAGGGGCAGGCCCAGGGAAGATGCTAAACTCAGAAGCACAGTTAACACAAGGGAAACAAAGGGGTTAGAGAGAATGAGATCACTCGTGGAGAGTCGTGGGTCTGGTGTGCTTTCTCTCTGGGTCTCTGTCCCTCTTTGGATCTCTGGTCTCCATGATTGCCCCTCAACTCCGTGCTCTCTATCCTTCAGATCATCTTTGTCACACCTCTTTTTCTCCACCAGTGAGCACTTTGAGAGTCACCTCTGCACAGCAGGGCCTGCCTGAGGCTAAAGGTCTTTAGGCTGAGGTATGAAATTTGGTGAATGAGTAACTCAGGCCCCATTGTGACTATGTGCCTGAAGCAACTGCCCCACCCCCATAAACAGCAAGTCAGAGAAGAGAGGTCAGTTAAGAGTAGTGAGGGGAGACTGAGTCACCAGCCCAGAGAGGGGCAATATGGCCACAGGCGGGAACCCAGGGAAAGCATCAAGGGAACTAAAAAAACAGACTCGACACAAACCACACTCAGGGTGGCTCCTCAGGGGAGAGGATCCGAATTTAGGTCCCAGCCAGGCTGCAATCCGCCCCAGGAAAGGAAGTCAGTGAGCGGCCCCAACCCGCCCCCCTGCCGGAGCCCCTTCGCGCTGAGGTCACCATGACTCAGCATGGCTGCTCTCCTGGTCACTGGCCCAGCCACCCCCTGAAGAAAGCCCCAGACACCAGCCTGGCCCAGCATCCCCTCTGTCAGGGAATAGATACCCTGTCTGGGATGCTTGGAGTGGCCCCTCTAGAGCAGGCCCTGACTTCTCCCCCCACCGCCCCATCCTCATGGCTGTCTCCATTAGGGCACTTCAATAGGGTCAAATTCCTACCTTTGTATCTCTTTTCCCCCCCATAACAACAGGGAGCTTCGTTAAGGGTAGCGTCCTGCTTTGAGACAGCTCTGCCTCCCAGACGCTAGCCGGGATCTGGCACACTTTAAAAACATACTTTGGTCGAAGACAAACATCCCACCCTCAGGTCCTTAGACCTTTCTCATTTCCCTAGGGCTTTTCGAAGTGCCCTTGAAGGGGCAGTTCTAAGGTAAGACAACCTCAGGTTGTTCCCGGGCCAAAGAGACTACCCAGTCTCTGACTTCAAAATAGCACTCAGACAGACCCTTAAGTGTCATTTCACCCCTCTCCATAGCTCCCAAAAAACAATAGTCTGTGAAATAGCCACAGGGTATTCCAAGTAGCTAAGAATCTCTCCAGGGCTCCAAAGGGCTCTCAAAACCCCTTCCTCTCATGAAAGCCCCTACTAGGCTTTCAGAAACACCCCTCTCCCCAAATTCTGGTGGGGGGCGTGAACCCCAAGGCTCAACTGTCCTTTAAATCTCACAGATCACCTCAAAGGCCTAAAAACCACCTCTCCCTTACCCCAGTAAGTTTCCAGAAAAATACGGATTTCCATTGTGAACACTAAGGCTACAGAAACGCCCCCCAACCCAGCCTTTTAGCGAACCCTAGGGCTCCAGGTGCCCCCTCCAATCCACCTACTAAAGATATCCCCAAGGTTCCAGGAATATCATCCAAACTTCTTTAGCATAGGGGACCCCTTATCGCCAAGAGCAAACCCCAGTCATGTGGAAATTTCCGCACCTCTGAGGAACCCCCTAAGGCTCCAGAAGTCCATGATCTCACACAACCTCAGGTTCCAATCTATGTTCCTGAGACACCTCTAGAATCATCAATTTACAGGGGTCTCAGTGTCTCCATTAATCTTCCACCTACCAGAGAGACCCCCAGAATTCCATGACTTCCCAGAATCGGCCCCCGGACCCTTGTATCCTGCAAACTCCCCCACCCCCAAATTCCCCATTTCACAACAGCCTCTAGCTACAGGCGCGTGACTTCCCTACTTCTGGGCGGGGGGGACTGGGACTCCAGTCTGCTCCGATTGGTCACGCAGGGGCTCCAGGCCCCGCCTCTGACCACCGCTGATTGGTCGATAACTCTTCCTGAATTCCCCACTGCCGAGGGCCCGCGCACTATAAAAGAAGCCGCCTTAGAGAACGCCCTCAGTAGTTCGCCCGGCGGCCCTGTGGTTCTGTTTCTTGCTTCAACAGTGTTTGGACGGAACAGACCAAGGGACGCCCAGTCTTCCAGTCTCCGGCCGTCTTTCATCCTCTTTTCCAGTCGCCGTCTTCGGAACCGTCTTCTCAGTCAGCCTCTCTCACCGGGACCAACCAAACCGTGTTTTGAGCTTAGCTCCTTACTGCCTATCAACTATGAGCTCTCAGATTCGTCAGAACTATATTGCCGAAGTGGAGGCCGGCGTCAACCGCCTGGTCAACCTGTACCTGCGGGCCTCCTACACCTACCTCTCTCTGGTGAGGGTCCCCAGAATGCCCCCGGACCAAGTTTCTCCCATCCGCGCACCGGCCCTCCGCGCAGGCGCTGGCCTTCTCTGTCCCGTTTGGTAGTTAGAGGGCGGAGTCCGCGCCGTCGGCCTTCCCTCCAGCTAAACCATTGTTCGCGCCTTCTTTAATTGCAGGGCTTTTATTTTGACCGCGACGATGTGGCTCTGGAGGGTGTGGGTCACTTCTTCCGCGAGTTGGCCAAGGAGAAGCGCGAGGGCGCCGAGCGTCTCTTGAAGATGCAAAACCAGCGCGGGGGCCGGGCCCTCTTCCAAGACGTGCAGGTAAGTCGGGAGAGGGCGGTGGACTGCATTTCCCCAGTGGTTCCTGCGCCCTCGGGCTGCCGTGACCTTAGGCACCTCCTGGGCTTCTCAGGGCTTCTGGGAGATTGAGTTCAATCCCGTGTGGCTAGCAATGGAGGCGCACCCAGTCACTCCAAGACGTGGCGGTCCAGACCGCACCGTGGTCTACTGGGGCGTGTAGTTGTAGGAATTCGAGGCGGGGGCGGTGATAGATACAAGCTCTTGGATATCTTTGCTGGCTAAGCTCTTAACACACTTAGCTGCTGGGGAGGGAAATGGTGGTTTTAGGCTTGAGGGGTATGACGCCGCTTCTGAGTCGTCTGTCTTATGGGTGTATAGAAGCCGTCCCAGGATGAGTGGGGTAAAACCCTAGACGGCATGGAAGCCGCATTGGCCTTGGAGAAGAGCCTAAACCAGGCCCTTCTGGATCTGCACGCCCTGGGTTCTGAGCGCTCAGACCCCCATGTAAGTATCCCCATCGTAATACTTTTATTGAACTGAAGGTTACATACTCATCCTTGGCTTTATTTGATTGGGCAAATTTCCTTCTGAGCCTTGTTCCCCCACCTGTTAATGCTGTTATCTCTGAGTGGCAGTATTTGCTCTTCTGTCACTCAGCTGTGTGACTTCCTGGAAAACCACTTCCTAGATGAGGAGGTGAAACTCATCAAGAAGATGGGCGACTACCTGACCAACCTCAACAGGCTGGCTGGTCCCCAGTCTGGACTGGGAGAGTATCTCTTTGAAAGGCTCACCCTCAAGCACGACTAGGAGCCTCTTGGAGCCCAACAGCCATAGAGGGGCCCCTCTGGCAGCCCCCTGGTGTCAGGGCTTCTCTCTGAGCCTCTCCCTGCAGCCACTAGGCAGCCTTTTAACCACCCTGGAGCCCTCTCCTAAGCCATGGACCAAATGGAAACAATAAAGCTTTTTGCAGCAGCTAGTGGTTTTCTGTATGTGATGTGTGGGTGGGAGGGGGTGAGGTATGGGATCTAATTTCACAAGGCTTTTAGCTGGACTGTGCTGGCAGGGAAGAGAGCCCCCACCTGCCATATACTTCTGTTCTCTTGGGGTGGGATGTCAGCTGTAGGGGGGTGTGTTACACAGGTTCACTGCTTTGCCAGGCTGTTAATGCCCCTCCCAGAGGCAGTGCCCAGATTCCAGGGAGCATCTATTAAGATCTGGGCTTGAAAGCTGAAAGACAGATACACTAGACAGTAATCAAACAGGCTTTGGCAAATGATTACATTGCTGGCACTGTGCCACACTCTGAAAGTACCATCTTTGGCTCAATCCTGGGAGGTTTAAGTGTAATTAAGAACCCATGAGCCCATTTGAGTTTAGCTATTACTATGTAAATTGCCCACAGCAACCAGGAAGCTTATCTAGGTCGGACCTCCAAAGGTTGCTTGTTACACCTCTGATTCAAGGCACACAGTAGGAAGAGCCAGTCAAGTGGATCTAAGCAGTCGGGAGCACGTGATACGCAAGAGCTGCTGAGGTGTAGGGCTTTGGGGCTCAGCACAGAAAAGGGATGTGAAACTTGGGGTCAAATTCTCCAAATCTTAACTTAATCTGCAAGATGGCTTAGCAGGCAGCTAGCTGTTGGGTCCAAGCTATAAAACTTATCAACTCTGACCCCCTACCCCTTCTCTGTTTTTGGTAGAATAGCTGCTGGATACCTGTTATTTTGTCCCCTTGGGACCTCCTGCTATCACCACTTTGGTGACCACTTGTGATTTTGGGTAGGAAGGGGGACTTCTGTGCATCTGTCACAACAGTGGCTAATCAGGAGAAACATCAAAATTCAGACAATTACAGCTTTCTACTCCCCTGAAAAGTGTTGGTTCAAAGATGCACATATGGCCTAGTTAGAACTGAAAAGAAAACATTTCCCGATAATAGAACCATGCAGGGAACAATAGGGACAAAGGACAAAGGCCACAGAATCCTGGAAATATGCTCTAAGCTACTGCTGTCCAGTAGTTTTTCCAATGATGGAAATGTTCTATAGCTGCACTGTTCCAACAGAGTAGCCACGAGCCACATGTGACCACTTGCATATAGCTAGTGCTATCGAGGATTTTAAATAGCCACGGCTACCCTGTGGATCTTTTCCAGCAACCTGGCTCCTTACTGCCAAAAAGAGCTTGAGCCAAATTTTGCCACTTGCAAGTCAAGACTCAACAAAACAGGTGCCTTCCCTTGAAATAACGATATAATCCAGAATAGCGGTCCAAGTCTCTCCAAGACAGCAGAATGAGACAAGGGATCAGGGACCCGGAGTGGCCAGGAGCAAGGCCCACCAAGCTGTCACGTTGAACCACACCTGAAATTCTTAAATATAGATGTATTTTTTCATCCGTGGACACACATAAATCACACTCCTTCTGCCCCCCAAGTGCATCAGACGCAGCACAACACACAAGGGGTCCCTCCCTGTCACCAAAGCTGGGGGCAGGGCACAGCTTAAGGATGGAAGAGCCTCGAGGTAAATGTGGAGGTTCTAGAACTCAGTGGGCTCAGTTCTAGACAAGAAGGGAAAGGGGCCAGGATGTAGCACAGTGGTAAGGTTCTAGATTCAGCAGCCAGGATCTAGAACCCAGTGGTTTCGTGGTGAGCCTAGCCAGTGGGGGATGTGGGGAGGAAGACAGCCAATTCTGTCCTCAGCAGGTGATTCCTTGGAGGACACAGAAGTAGTCTCAGAATATGGGAGAGAGCTCAGATTCAGGGAAGGAGTAAGATCTGGTCCCGAATAGACCAGAAAGGCATATAGACCAAGACTGCATGTTCTCCAGTAGGAATGAGAAGCCAAGTGGTTCTGCCCCACCACTCTGCTTGGCCAGAGTATGGAGGAAGAAGGGAAAAGGGGTAAAAGGGATCCTCCAGGCAGAGCCAGACACCCCCAGGAGGGGCTAGATCAGAGTAAACACGAGTGCCTTGGCCTGGAGCCTGAGTTCTGGAGTTGAAATGGGGGACCTTCTGCATTCAGTTAAGTTCCTGAAAGCGCCCCAGCTTTGGATTTGATTTCCCTGTTAGCAGGGACACCACATGGTTTCCAGTGCTTGGGGGCCCCCAGGCCAGGCCTGAGCATGGCATTGCTGTGTACGCTGTAGAAATTGCAAGCCAAGAAGGGCTCTAGGAGCCCCAGCCTGGAAGGCAACAGACCAGGTTTCCTAAAATCTCTGGCACCATGGCAGGGTAATAATGGCAGGTGCCTGGCCTCTGGGACCCGGGCCAGGCCGGGTGGACTCCAGGACACAGATATGCATCCTGGAAGCCAAGAAAGGCACGGCATTGTGGACTCTGGCGTGTTGGGGATTCCAACAGCGGAGCTAGAGGGGCTGGAGTGTATGGCAAAGGGGATGGGGCTGTGGGCCCCGCAGAAGTTTCGGGATCTGGAGTGGGGTTTCTTAACAGCGGTGATCTGCATCCACCCTCTAGATGAGGGAGTCAGGGCTGGTGGGGAGTGTGGGGCGCAGGGCTTAGTTGCGTTCCTCGCCCAGAGAGCTGGCGGGGCTGAGGGGCTCGCTGGGGGTGCTGAGTGAGCTGGAGGGCGCAGTGTCCACCGAGCTGCGCTTGCTCCCGGTAGAAGAGGCACAGGACGCGCGCCGGGGCCACTCCGGGGCGCGGATGTTGCGCCGGTCCTTGGCGGCCTCCTCATCCTCGTCATAACGCTCGCCATCTTCATTGGGCAGCACATCCCGAGGCTCCTCTTCGTCCTCGCTCTGGTGCGGGCTCGAGTGTCGCGACAGCGAGGGCGAGGGCGGCACAGAGGCTGGCCGTGGGTAGCGGTAGCCCTGGGTCTAGGTTCGTGGGTGTGGGCACAAACCAGAGTGAGGGGTTGGTTGCTCCTGTAGTCCTGCCCAGGAGTCTAGCACCCCTGAGGCCTTCCAACTCCAGGAGGGGTTCATCCCCCAAACTCCCAGTCCAGCCCTCTAGCTCCTGGCCCACGAGAGATCCCGGGTTCACTCACCGCATCAGCCTCATGGGGCTCGTAGGTGAAGTATTCTGGAAAGGCCTTGGCCAGCGCCATGTGGCGTGCAGACATATAGTACTTTGGAGAAGGAAGGGGACAGAACGTCAGAGGACTGGAGCCAGACCTTAACGCCCAGCTGATGCGCAAAGGGATGAACCCTGGCCACGCGTTCCTCACAGATGAGCGCCCTCTCCTGCACCTTCCAGTAGGCTCAGGGGCCAATGATCATATTTAGAGCCCCACCCCTTATGTAGATAAGCAGAGCTGTGAATGGACAGTCTGAGCCACACCCCCTTATCAGGGGCTGAATTCTCAAGGCCGATTCCTCTTTGGCCACACCCTTATGCAAATACACTAAGAACGACAGCGGCACTCCTGCAGAAGTTGCTTAAAGAGACAGCAATTGGTGCAGGTATGAAGAGACAGTGCCCCCAGCGCCAGCCTTTGGGGCTGAAGAGCCAGAGCCGGAGCCGGAAGCGGCTGATTCAGCAGCAGAGGACGGAGAAGGGAGTTATATATACCCGGCCTAGGTATTTCCAGTCCAGAAGGTCGGAGAGGCGCTCCGTACGGTTCCTCTGGATGATGCGCTGCCGCCGGCTCTGCTGGCAGAAGCTGTAGAGGAAGGAGGTGAGCTGCGAGCAGGAATCATCAAGGCTGCGGAATCGTCTGTCGAGAATGTAGATGCCTGTGCGGACCAGGACGGGGGCTCAGAAAACAGACTGGGGACACCTCCCTGGGACGCTGGGGCACCAGAACTCTTCCTGTCCCTGGGACCCACGTGTCTACCCGCTTCTCTCCTCTTTTAGCGACCCGAGTCTGCGCCCCTCCTCCCTAGGATCCCAAAGTCTCGGCTCTCAGTATGGGCGCTGACCGTAAGCCGACGGGTCTGCGATGTGTTCCTCCATGAAGCAGCCGAAGCCGGAGAGGTTAGTGGAGATACTGGGGATGCCCATAACCGTGCACTCAGCTGCGAAGGCGTTGAGAAAGGCCCACTTAGCTTTCCCCACTCTTAGAGCCTCTTAAATCACAATAAAAGCCTCAACAGCGCCATCTACTGGCACCGTCACCAAGTGCCAGGCGCTGTGTTGAGCTAATCACTGAGTAGGCAAAGTCAGGCTGTAGATTAGACTATTATAGCCCCTGTTCCTCAGAGTGAAAGCTAGAGGCTCACAAAAGGGAATTCACTTGCCCCAAGGCTCAGGATGAGGAAAAGTATATGGCTGGGCGATAAAGGACGCTGATTTATTGAGCAGAACTCTGGGCAATGTCTGTCATAGTACTTAATCCTCACAACCTGGTACTTTCTAGTGCTGCACCATAGTGTTTTAGTTATCACAGCTTCATAGTTTGTTTTGACAAGAGGAAAAGGTCTCTCATTATTATCTCAATTTAGTACCTTAAAGAACCTAAGAAATGGTTCAAGGAGTTTATTATAATTCTTACGTAACTGTTCCTAAAAACCTTAACCTGCAAACACAGGCAGTAAATATAACAGGGTTTATGGGAAAAATAGGATTGCAGCTGACCACATAAAACCCACGCACCACTGTAAACATGGCAGAAATAAAAACTGGCAAAATTCTTAAGTATCATGCAAGGACAGTTTACAAGACTTGTTAAAAAAAATAACCCCTAAATCAAGAAATACTACAATACAGCTTTAAAAACATATGAGGAAGGGTGGAGTTTGCTGCAGAGCAAAATGGCCCCAAATCAGGGAGAACTGTAAATAAGCTGTTCCAACTCAGGGCTCGCACCAAAAGGGGGCCAGCAGGAGGAAGGTGGAGCTGAAGGGCACTCAGGACAGGTGGGGGAGACTTTGCCACATTCAGCTGTGTTAGTGAACTGTACATTCAGCTGTTGTCGTTTGGGGGGGCCAAACATCAGCAACCCGGGGGAAGTCACGTGCAAACTGAGACATCAGTCCTCTAGTTACTTATCACATGAGCTATTGTGCCACAAAAACACATGCTGTAGCAGAACAAACCATTGCCCTTATCCCTATTTTGCAGAGGAAGAGCTTGAGGCTTAGGGCCCTCAGGAGCCTTGCCCCAGATCACACCCAATATGACCAGCACCCTGCCACCATGCTGCACTCACCAGGTGTGTAGCCCCAAGGCTCGTAGTAGGAGGGGAAAACCCCCAGGTGGCAGCCCCGGACAAACTCCTCATAGTCCACAGGGAGCAGGGGGCTTGTGGAAGAGAGGAATTCTGGGTGGAAAATCACCTAGCAGTGAAAAAGAAGGGTTCAGCCCAGGAATCTTATTTAGCTACTTCCAGGGATCCCGGAGTGGCCCAGAGAGGGTGAAACGCTTGTCTAAAGTCACATGTCAGTGGCAGGCCAAAGATTTGAATCTAAAAGTCTATCTGCCTGAGAAGTCAAGGTTCTTCCTAAAAACAGCAGTTATCTGATGAACTAGGAGAGATGGGGAATGTGAGGCCCAGGCTCTCTCCACCCCATCCCATCCCAACCCCGCCACGCCTAACCCACCTGGCCAATGCCCTCACCTTGACCCTGTCGGCACTACTATTGAAGAGGCCAATTCGGCGGATCGTGGTCAAGATAGGGTCTGAGGAGTCGTCCAGCATATTGTGGGTGCACACAGGGGGAAAAGACTGCCTCTGTAGGGGTCACAAGTGGGATGTGGGGTCAGGGAAAGGACAGAGGGCTCCCTACTTCTGTGAGCCATGCTGACCCAAGGTGACCACAATTCCCATCGAGCTGTGGGGCAACAAGCCCAAGAGATTACCAGCAGCTGTGGATTTCCTACTTGGATCTGTCAAGGTTCTCTTTTCCCTTTAACTACATGAGCCAAAAAGAAACTAGCTGCCTTTGAGGTAGAGCCAGTGTTAACATACCCCATGGACTACAGGGAGTTGTAGCTATCTTGTTCTGTACTCTTGGCTCTGTCATCAAAGAAACCCAAGGAATCTCTCTGAATTCCCTTTACTCGCCATCCTGGAATTCTCTCCACCTCCACCCCAATAGAGGCCCAAAGAAACCAGTTCCCAAGAGGCACTGGAGGACAAAGCTGGCTGATAGGAAATCCCGGGGGCTGCTGGGATATACAGTTCTTTGCAACTGTTCCATCATTTCTCTCATTAAGGTTCTACTCTTCCTCCATCTGACTCCAGGGGCTGTAGAAACTACAAATCCCAGCAGCCGCATGACAGAAACATCTTTAGTGAGGCTGACAGCCTTAGGGACTATTGGAAATTATAGTTTCCAAAAGCAGGTCATAACTGTTTGTGCAACTTGGCTGCCTAGGTTCCCATTCCTTAGGAAATGGCTAACTAATCCTGACCACAGGTACCAAAGACCCTTGGATAAAAGGCCAGAGAATAAAAGAACTCTTAAGTCCCAGAAGTCTCTGGAGTAAGGGAAGAGTCAATGTAGGCATAAGCCCCAGGAGCTGCTGGGAGTTGTAGTACTCATTTGGGGGTTGCCAATTTTCTCTAAGGGTTCCCATCCACCTAATTCCATTAACCTCAGGAATCTGAAGAAGCTACAACTCCCAGGGGTGTTGGGTACTAAGGCACAGCCAGTGGGACATGAAACAACAGCTGCTGAGAGTTTTCAATGTTCTACAGGGAATGCTAATTGTTTTAGCTGATCTGGTTCTATCCAGTATGCCGCTGATGTGCAGCAAAGCCCAAGGACAGCTGGCAGCTGTAGTTCTCTGTAGTTCTCCATTTGTGGCCTTCTTGAATTTCTAAAGTTCCTTTTCACCTTTTGTCCACGGATCCCAGGGGACTAAAAGGAACTCCCAGCAGCCCCTGTTGCAGGGGCTGCCTGTGGGAAAGCAGGCATAACTAAGGGCTTCTGGGAACTGAAGTTCTGTCAGTCAGCTCCCACCCTTTTGTGGACCTCAGAATGATTTCCCAGATAAGGGGTGTCAATAAAGCAGAACTCCCAGAAATCTGGGGTCAGAGCCAACATGTCAAGCTGTCTCTGGGGCTTCTGGGCATTGCCCTCTCTCTGCTCAGGGGTCTAAATCATTACCTGTGTGGCAAAGATGGCTCTCTTCATCATAGTGAAGTCTTCCTTGTCCAGCATCTTGTTCATGTCTGGGAGGCTCCCCCTGCAAGGTGAGCAGGGTCATGCATCTAGGAATGGGTGAGGAGAGGACCAGGGCCCAGGAGGGTGCAGGGCTGAGGGTGGGACACTCACACCAGCAAGGATTCATAAAGCTTCCTCCCAAACTTCTCCTTCACTGTGTTGGCTGTATCCCTGGAAGGAGCAGAGCAACACGTCACATGCGCATGAGCTGCCATTTATTGTCAGGCCTCTGGGGCAGCTGATAAACTGAGGTCTGAGCAGGGGACTTCAGGTTAGAGGATGGGGACCTGGGGAGCAGGCCCTGGAAGGCTCAGATCCCTTGTGCCCTCACCAGCTGTGTGGCCAGGAACAGGTGGCCTTCCCTCTCTGACTTCAGTGACTCATTTGTCAGATGGGGATAAAAATAGAATCAACCTCAAGGTTTCCAAGTAAGAACTCAATGAGGTCATAACAAAAAGTGCTTAGTGCCTGGCAAACAGCAAGCCTTCCAGAAATGTCAACTATTATTAGGATTTGTGCTAGTCCTGACAGTGGCAGTGCTAAGCCCCATTTTATGAAAAGGGAAGATTATGTTCTGATAGAGGAAAATTTATGTACACAAGTAAGGCCAGTAAACAGTGCCACCCTACAGTCTCATTGCCAGTCCTCTGCTCATAGTCCTCCCACAGTTCTGGCCTCATTTTCTATCCCATCTCCCTAGGGTACATTGCTCCAGTCCTGCTGGCCTTCTTGCTGTTTCTTAAAAAGCATGCCTCATGGCCTTTGCACTTGCTGTTCCCTCTTCCTGAAATGCTGTTCCTCAGATACATACAGGGCTCCCTCCCTCATTTCCTCTCCTGCTCTCTACCTAATGGCACTTTCTCAGTATGGCCTGCCTTGAAAACCCTGTCTCATATTCCAGTTGCACTTCATTTTTTGGCCAGAGTGCTTTCTACAGAATTGTCTAGAATGTGAGTTCAGTAAGGGCAGGGATTTTATCTTTCCAGTTCACAGCTGTGTTCCTGGGACCTGGGACAGTGCCTGGCGGCAAATGGGTTTTACAGATGAGGAAACTGAGGCTCCAAGTGGGGGAGTCACTTGCCTAAAGTCACAAAGCCAGCAAGGGTCAATCACACCCTTTGTGGTTTGGTATCAGAGCCCTAATGGTGCTGTCATGCTTCTCCTGCCTGTCACTCCTTACTGCCCCCCCGGGCTGGAGGCACCTTAAGCAAGTGACTTCAATAAGAATCGATGGGGCAAGGTGACCATATCACAGATGACAAAATTGAGACTCCAGATGAAACACTGGACCCAAAGCACACAGCTGGGAGTGGGACTGGCAGGGATCCGGGGCTGAGGGCTGCTAACCACAGCTGCTTGCGCACGGCTTGGCCCTTGAGGGTTTCCACATTGAAATTGTTGGTCCTAGCCGGCATGATGAAGAAGGCAACCACTGTCTGCTCGCTGCCATTTACCTGGAGCAGAGGAAAAGGGGGTGGGGGTAGAGGGGTCAGGAGGCCACCCACCTTCTTCCATCCCCCAGACCACTAGGGCCCACCATGTCCCTTCCAGTCGAGGAGAATTATAGATAGAGTTGCCATCCCTGCTGGGACTCCCATCTCCTATCTGGGTCTCTACACTCCCCCTCACACACGGGCTTCTCTACCCATACCTCCCTGGGTCTCAGTTCTTCTCCCCAGTTATACACTGATTTTCTGGTTCTCCTTTTGTCCGCTCGCACCCTGGGGCCTTACTCTGAGCAGATAGTTGAGCCGGGCCAAGGCCTCCAGGAAGACGTCAGCCCCCTTGTTAGAGAACTCATAGCGGCCAGCAATGAAGAAATACAAGGTCTTGTCCAAGCTGAAGTCCAGGTGCCTAATGAAGGCACAAGGCAGGGTGAAGCCAAGACCCTCACCCTCTAGCCCTGGCCTCGAAACTACAGACCCCAGAAGCTTCAGGAGCCAAGAACCTCAGTGCAGAGGAATCGTGAGCTCCTGAGAACTGTAGTGTTCTTCTTCTTAGCTGGGGATCTTCTATATGCAGCCCTGGTTCTGGTACTCAGGACTCAAGAGGCTGAGCCCCAATCTGTGCCCTCCCTGAGACCCAGGAGTCTGGGCCCCCTACTCCCTCCTCTCTTAAGACCTAGATCTGGCTCACATACCCATAAAAATGGCCCCGCACAAACTCCTGGATTCGAGCCTTGCTCTGAGCATGGAGGTTCTGGAACTCATGCATGGCAGAGAACTTCTTCACATTCAATCCATTGGGCGTCACAATATCTGGGATTGGGGAGAAGGTCCATGTTTCATTTCTTCATTTGTTAATTACAATCAAAGTGGTTGAATGAATGAGTGAAGGAAAGACCCTTTTCTTTTCACAATTTCTTTGCATCAGTAGCTCCTCTGTGAGCTCCTTTGGTGACCCAGCTGCCCTGCCTCTCGGACCTTCTTGCTAAGTATTACTCGCTTATCTTTACAAACACAACTACAACTCCCATCAGCCCCTGCAAATGGCTAATCAGACAAGGAACTGGTCTATATCAGGGCCTCTGGGAGTTGTAGTTCTTTTGTTTCCCCATTCCATCTGAGCTGGGAATGATTACATACCCCTATCCTGCTTCTCCCAGAATATACCTTCTACCTTCCTCCTGTAGTGTCCCAGCCATTTCCTATCTTCATAGTTCTTACCATACACCCGCTGCAAATGGATGCCAGAGCCTGGGAAGAATAACTGGTTCCAACACTGCTTTTCTCAAAAACAAAATCCAGTGAAACTCTATCCTCTTTCCGAAGACCATTATTGGCCGATAAAACAATTTCCCTTTTCTGAAGTTGATATCAAAGAAACTACACCTCCCAGTAGCTTCTCAGGTCTACAGCAAAGCGGCCTCCAATTCAGGTCATCAACCTAAGGCATTCTGGGAATTGTAGTTCTCTGCTCTTTCCAGTAAAAATATTGGCAGGGCTGTTGACATAGACTACCTCATTCATGTCTAGGGACCCCAGACTGTTTCACACCTGGTTTCCTCTTCAGTAGGTACTGAGCCTCGATGGCAGTAATCTGGGACACGGTGGTGAAAACATGAGCACAGTGGGCCGCCGCCCGCTCCATGCAGTAGCGGTGATAGATCTGCCTCTCGCCTGCTTCTTTGTCCACGTTGAACTGGGCAGGAAGGGAGGGCAGTCAGGTTAGAACTGTGGAAAAGATGGCAGGTTCAGACTCCTGAGTCCTAGGGGAGGAGGGGACTGGAGGCTGGACTACTGGATCTCAGGGAGAAGGGAGCCAGGGACTCGGACGCCTGGGTTCTGGGGGAGGAGCGAGCTTGATGCCCTTGGGCTTCCCAGGCAGCGTGGGGCTGTCCTGAAATACTTGCAGCCCCATGTGCCACACTCCCAGCTCACATTCTCCAGGTTGTTGTAGAAGTCCACGGCACCAGCACACAGGTAACGCCCCAGCAGCGTGGCATGAGTGGTGAAGATTGTTGCCACAGGCAGCCGCCGGGCACGGCACAGGCAGAGCCCAACGCCTGCCAGCCACTCGTGGAAGTGTGCAACCACATGTGGCTTCTCCTCACTCTGGGCCAGGAACTACAGGGCAACAGGAAGAGGGCTGCTGAGTCTCCATGTTTGTCATGAAGACAATCAGCAATTCCCGTCTTAACTGAAGCAGGGGAGAGGTAACTCTATCGCCACTACCACACAAAGTGGGCGGCAGCCCATTGTAATTTCTACAGGACCAGAACTATAAATCCTGGAGGCAGCTGGACCAGCTGACCTCATCCCCACTGGCTGATGGGAGCTGGGGTGTCTTCGTCAGAGGTCCCAGGAGGGCTAAATTGCTGAACTGAAAGGCCTGAAGATTTAGTGTCCCCATGTCCTGGACACAATTCCTGAAGATCTTTTATTTTACTCAAGAGTAGACATGCATCCAGTATTGGCTGAGGGACTAAAACTGCCGGAATGTCCTAGGAGCAGCCAGTTCATAATCTGTCCTGAGGCATGGGAAGCAGTTTCTTGAGCCCTTTAAAACTTAAAAAGAAGTGGAGCCAGGATTCCTGTTCTTAACGAGGCAGGGGACTCCCAATATCTAGGGCCCCTTCTGAGAGCTAAGTCCAGCCAGTTAATTCCCAGAATTCCTTGGAGAAAGCCCTCCAGCCAGACTATCCTCCCCAATGGCTCAAAATCCCTGTACTTGGAAGACTGGAGTGAATGAAGCTGGGTTAAGGTTTGAATCTCTGAGGAAAGAAGAGTCTGGGCCCCTTAAGGTCCATATTCCCAAAGGTCAGAACTAATCCTTGGATAAAAGGACCTACAACTCCCAGAATGCCATGGGAGAAACCAGCCACCCAGCCACCCTCTTGCTAGGGGCTGATGACTATTGGGTCTGGGGTTGAAAGGACTAACATGGGACCAGCAGTGGGGCCTACCTCACCCAGGAACCAGGTGGTGAGGAAGCCAAAAAGGACAGCGTCGTTGGCCTCACGGTCGTACCAAGGCACCCCGATGTTGCAGGTGTCCCAAAGCTCCCCCTTCCAGCGCTCCAGGGCCCAGGCTGAGGCCCCCACATCCAGGAGCACCACCAGGGGGCCCCCCTCGATCAACCAGCGCCCAAAGTACACCTGCAGCGGTGGAGAGGGGGGAATCCAGAGGGTGGCTCAGGGATTGGACCGCAGGTCTCTGGGCATAGTCTCGGGGGCGCTCCCATCCGCAGGCAGATGTTGGGTCTCATTGCCTCATTCTCCCACCTGTTTCTGCGTCTGCTGATTTCTCACGGGCTGCCTTATCTCTCTCGTTGCCGTTAAGGTATCCCCACCACAATTTCTGTTGCATTTTCCTGGTACCCCGCTTAATTTCTCTAACTGCTTCCTTTCTTCTTTCTCTGCCTTCTCTCTCTCCTTATAACCACATAGTTTACACACCCTATCTCTGTGTCCCCGTCCCGGCCTTGATATCCACCTTGGGAATCATTGCTGTGACCTGCTGCCTTGTTTCTGTGTTTGCTGTCACATTTCTCCCACCACCCATCATGTTTCCTCCCATTATCTGTTCTCTCTGCTGCTGATTCCTCCGACTAGATGCCTCCTTCGCTGTTCTCACGGTCACATTGCTTCCACCTGCTGCCTCTTTCCTGTGCCCTTAGGCTCATTTTGTACCCTGCGGCCACATCTCTAATGCTGTCCACCTCTCTCCACGCTCCACGGCTGCATTTTTCTACCCTCTGCCATGTTTCAAAGCCTGACAATCTCATTTCTTTCTGCTCCCACCCCATTTCTCTGGTCCAGTGCTTCTTGAGACCTGGCCTAGGTTCTGGGCCTGCTGCCACAGCTCCACGCAGCCAAGAAGTGGTCATACTGCTCTCCAACCTGGCTTTTCCCAGCCTCAAGAGCCTGACCCGGGTCCCCTCCCCCTCCCAGCTGTTGTCTGCCCTTTTGCTGGGGGGGCTATTCTTAGGCCCCCAGCACGTGGGGAGCAGCTGCCATGGGGGAGGGCCAAGCTGTCCCTGGGTTCCTTAGGAACACTATGGCCTGACTGGACTCGAAACCCCACCGAAAATCAGAGGCTGCGAATGAATGAAGGACCTAGTGTAGCTGTCCTCCCAGGCCCAACCTGCCCGTACTCCAGCCCTGCTGCCCCAAGGCCCTCCATGCCCATTCATTCATCAGTCCTTCTCGGGGGCTCCAGGACTCCCCTCTCCTCTCTTTAATTCCTGGCTCTGCCCATCCAAAACTCTGTCCCCTTGGTTTGTCTGTCTATCTCTCTTTTCTTCATTAGTACTCCATCTTCCTCTCTCCTTCTAGGTTCTTTTCTGATACATTAGGGCTTCTTCTCTTCTGTACCTAGACTCTGTCTATCTCCCTACTGCTCTAGCCCCTGGGGCCACCATCACCTTTTGGGGCTCAACGTCTCTCCCTTCACCTGCACCCCTCACTCTGCAAGCTTGGATGTTTACAGTGATTACGCTGATGATAACCGTGACTGTCACAGCTCATACACGGTGCCGACTTCATGCCAGGAATGGGGCTGAGGACTTTATGAACTATTTCATCCTCCCAACAACCCTATAACATAGATGCCATTAGCATGTTCATGAGCCAGGGTCACATGGGTAGGAAGTGGAGACCACAAATCTGAATTTCAGGCTCCGGAAGCCCCACTCTGGCATGCCTGCCTCACCCCAAACCTGCCTCCCCTCGGTTCCATCTGACTGGCTGGCTTTCTATTTAGCTCTTTCTGGATCTGAGGATCTTGGCCTCTTGGACCACTTTCTCAGTCTGTCTTACACCTGCCGTCTGTCCATTCACCAATGTCTTTGAGCTTGGGACTCACCTACCCACTTCCAGGGATTGGGTATCGGGTTGTGTATCTGAGTGTCTGTAAATCTCACCTCCTCTGTATCTGCCTGGGGAAAGTACCAGGCCACCCCAGGTTTCTGCCCAGGCCACCCCTCCACTTCCTGGACTGCCCTGCCACTACCCCTTCTCCATCTCCTGCTCCCACCCTGGCTACGGGCACCTGCCTTCCTCCCCTCAGCCAGGCCATGTCCCACCTTGCAGCCCTTGTTGTTCATGGAGTCCAGCGTCCTCTTCAGGGCTGGGGTCGGAGGCTCAAGCAGTTCCACCTGGGTCCTCACACCCTGCTCCGTGTATGGTCCCACCAGGTAGTAGTTGTCGCCCCACTCATCCCCGGTCACCTTCGCCTTCGTCTGCAGCACCGTGTAGATGCCACCCACTGTGGGCCCAAGTGTGTAAGGCCAGGCCCCAGCGGAGGTCCACAGATCTGGGACTTGGGGCAGGGTCAGGGGCCATGGGAGGCATGGAGCCCCAGACCCCTGGCTTAGAGGGAAGGGGGGACTGGGAGCCCCTACTTCAGAGTCAGAGGAAGGATGGGCTGGGGTTCAAGGGCAGTACTCCTGGGTCCCAGGGAGAAGGGGGCTGGGCTCAGGACTCAGACAGAGGAGGGGACTCAGGCTAGACTGTGGTCTGAGAGAGGAAGGGGAGGGGGCTTGGGCTCCTGGGTCTGAGGGATTTGAGGGCTGAGCTCCAAGGATGACAGAAGCTAACAAAGATTACCAGGACCCAGGTTCCCCAGGTCCCAGTTCCCAGGAGCTGGTTTATTCTCAGTCAGACTCCAGGACATGCGAGATTCTCTCTTCATGGCCTGACTCAGCTTCCCACAACTGCCCAAGCAAAGCCTGAACTGTCTGTCATTCTTCACCCTCCAGGGAAACTACCAACCTGTCACCCAAATCTCCTTTCCCCAAATGGGGCACAGACATGCAGGGCCCTGCCCCATCCCATGACCCCACTCCAGACCCAGAGTCAGGACCCCCCACTCCTTACCTCCTGGAACCTNTTGAAGAGGCCAATTCGGCGGATCGTGGTCAAGATAGGGTCTGAGGAGTCGTCCAGCATATTGTGGGTGCACACAGGGGGAAAAGACTGCCTCTGTAGGGGTCACAAGTGGGATGTGGGGTCAGGGAAAGGACAGAGGGCTCCCTACTTCTGTGAGTCATGCTGACCCAAGGTGACCACAATTCCCATCGAGCTGTGGGGCAACAAGCCCAAGAGATTACCAGCAGCTGTGGATTTCCTACTTGGATCTGTCAAGGTTCTCTTTTCCCTTTAACTACATGAGCCAAAAAGAAACTAGCTGCCTTTGAGGTAGAGCCAGTGTTAACATACCCCATGGACTACAGGGAGTTGTAGCTATCTTGTTCTGTACTCTTGGCTCTGTCATCAAAGAAACCCAAGGAATCTCTCTGAATTCCCTTTACTCGCCATCCTGGAATTCTCTCCACCTCCACCCCAATAGAGGCCCAAAGAAACCAGTTCCCAAGAGGCACTGGAGGACAAAGCTGGCTGATAGGAAATCCCGGGGGCTGCTGGGATATACAGTTCTTTGCAACTGTTCCATCATTTCTCTCATTAAGGTTCTACTCTTCCTCCATCTGACTCCAGGGGCTGTAGAAACTACAAATCCCAGCAGCCGCATGACAGAAACATCTTTAGTGAGGCTGACAGCCTTAGGGACTATTGGAAATTATAGTTTCCAAAAGCAGGTCATAACTGTTTGTGCAACTTGGCTGCCTAGGTTCCCATTCCTTAGGAAATGGCTAACTAATCCTGACCACAGGTACCAAAGACCCTTGGATAAAAGGCCAGAGAATAAAAGAACTCTTAAGTCCCAGAAGTCTCTGGAGTAAGGGAAGAGTCAATGTAGGCATAAGCCCCAGGAGCTGCTGGGAGTTGTAGTACTCATTTGGGGGTTGCCAATTTTCTCTAAGGGTTCCCATCCACCTAATTCCATTAACCTCAGGAATCTGAAGAAGCTACAACTCCCAGGGGTGTTGGGTACTAAGGCACAGCCAGTGGGACATGAAACAACAGCTGCTGAGAGTTTTCAATGTTCTACAGGGAATGCTAATTGTTTTAGCTGATCTGGTTCTATCCAGTATGCCGCTGATGTGCAGCAAAGCCCAAGGACAGCTGGCAGCTGTAGTTCTCTGTAGTTCTCCATTTGTGGCCTTCTTGAATTTCTAAAGTTCCTTTTCACCTTTTGTCCACGGATCCCAGGGGACTAAAAGGAACTCCCAGCAGCCCCTGTTGCAGGGGCTGCCTGTGGGAAAGCAGGCATAACTAAGGGCTTCTGGGAACTGAAGTTCTGTCAGTCAGCTCCCACCCTTTTGTGGACCTCAGAATGATTTCCCAGATAAGGGGTGTCAATAAAGCAGAACTCCCAGAAATCTGGGGTCAGAGCCAACATGTCAAGCTGTCTCTGGGGCTTCTGGGCATTGCCCTCTCTCTGCTCAGGGGTCTAAATCATTACCTGTGTGGCAAAGATGGCTCTCTTCATCATAGTGAAGTCTTCCTTGTCCAGCATCTTGTTCATGTCTGGGAGGCTCCCCCTGCAAGGTGAGCAGGGTCATGCATCTAGGAATGGGTGAGGAGAGGACCAGGGCCCAGGAGGGTGCAGGGCTGAGGGTGGGACACTCACACCAGCAAGGATTCATAAAGCTTCCTCCCAAACTTCTCCTTCACTGTGTTGGCTGTATCCCTGGAAGGAGCAGAGCAACACGTCACATGCGCATGAGCTGCCATTTATTGTCAGGCCTCTGGGGCAGCTGATAAACTGAGGTCTGAGCAGGGGACTTCAGGTTAGAGGATGGGGACCTGGGGAGCAGGCCCTGGAAGGCTCAGATCCCTTGTGCCCTCACCAGCTGTGTGGCCAGGAACAGGTGGCCTTCCCTCTCTGACTTCAGTGACTCATTTGTCAGATGGGGATAAAAATAGAATCAACCTCAAGGTTTCCAAGTAAGAACTCAATGAGGTCATAACAAAAAGTGCTTAGTGCCTGGCAAACAGCAAGCCTTCCAGAAATGTCAACTATTATTAGGATTTGTGCTAGTCCTGACAGTGGCAGTGCTAAGCCCCATTTTATGAAAAGGGAAGATTATGTTCTGATAGAGGAAAATTTATGTACACAAGTAAGGCCAGTAAACAGTGCCACCCTACAGTCTCATTGCCAGTCCTCTGCTCATAGTCCTCCCACAGTTCTGGCCTCATTTTCTATCCCATCTCCCTAGGGTACATTGCTCCAGTCCTGCTGGCCTTCTTGCTGTTTCTTAAAAAGCATGCCTCATGGCCTTTGCACTTGCTGTTCCCTCTTCCTGAAATGCTGTTCCTCAGATACATACAGGGCTCCCTCCCTCATTTCCTCTCCTGCTCTCTACCTAATGGCACTTTCTCAGTATGGCCTGCCTTGAAAACCCTGTCTCATATTCCAGTTGCACTTCATTTTTTGGCCAGAGTGCTTTCTACAGAATTGTCTAGAATGTGAGTTCAGTAAGGGCAGGGATTTTATCTTTCCAGTTCACAGCTGTGTTCCTGGGACCTGGGACAGTGCCTGGCGGCAAATGGGTTTTACAGATGAGGAAACTGAGGCTCCAAGTGGGGGAGTCACTTGCCTAAAGTCACAAAGCCAGCAAGGGTCAATCACACCCTTTGTGGTTTGGTATCAGAGCCCTAATGGTGCTGTCATGCTTCTCCTGCCTGTCACTCCTTACTGCCCCCCCGGGCTGGAGGCACCTTAAGCAAGTGACTTCAATAAGAATCGATGGGGCAAGGTGACCATATCACAGATGACAAAATTGAGACTCCAGATGAAACACTGGACCCAAAGCACACAGCTGGGAGTGGGACTGGCAGGGATCCGGGGCTGAGGGCTGCTAACCACAGCTGCTTGCGCACGGCTTGGCCCTTGAGGGTTTCCACATTGAAATTGTTGGTCCTAGCCGGCATGATGAAGAAGGCAACCACTGTCTGCTCGCTGCCATTTACCTGGAGCAGAGGAAAAGGGGGTGGGGGTAGAGGGGTCAGGAGGCCACCCACCTTCTTCCATCCCCCAGACCACTAGGGCCCACCATGTCCCTTCCAGTCGAGGAGAATTATAGAGTTGCCATCCCTGCTGGGACTCCCATCTCCTATCTGGGTCTCTACACTCCCCCTCACACACGGGCTTCTCTACCCATACCTCCCTGGGTCTCAGTTCTTCTCCCCAGTTATACACTGATTTTCTGGTTCTCCTTTTGTCCGCTCGCACCCTGGGGCCTTACTCTGAGCAGATAGTTGAGCCGGGCCAAGGCCTCCAGGAAGACGTCAGCCCCCTTGTTAGAGAACTCATAGCGGCCAGCAATGAAGAAATACAAGGTCTTGTCCAAGCTGAAGTCCAGGTGCCTAATGAAGGCACAAGGCAGGGTGAAGCCAAGACCCTCACCCTCTAGCCCTGGCCTCGAAACTACAGACCCCAGAAGCTTCAGGAGCCAAGAACCTCAGTGCAGAGGAATCGTGAGCTCCTGAGAACTGTAGTGTTCTTCTTCTTAGCTGGGGATCTTCTATATGCAGCCCTGGTTCTGGTACTCAGGACTCAAGAGGCTGAGCCCCAATCTGTGCCCTCCCTGAGACCCAGGAGTCTGGGCCCCCTACTCCCTCCTCTCTTAAGACCTAGATCTGGCTCACATACCCATAAAAATGGCCCCGCACAAACTCCTGGATTCGAGCCTTGCTCTGAGCATGGAGGTTCTGGAACTCATGCATGGCAGAGAACTTCTTCACATTCAATCCATTGGGCGTCACAATATCTGGGATTGGGGAGAAGGTCCATGTTTCATTTCTTCATTTGTTAATTACAATCAAAGTGGTTGAATGAATGAGTGAAGGAAAGACCCTTTTCTTTTCACAATTTCTTTGCATCAGTAGCTCCTCTGTGAGCTCCTTTGGTGACCCAGCTGCCCTGCCTCTCGGACCTTCTTGCTCAGTATTACTCGCTTATCTTTACAAACACAACTACAACTCCCATCAGCCCCTGCAAATGGCTAATCAGACAAGGAACTGGTCTATATCAGGGCCTCTGGGAGTTGTAGTTCTTTTGTTTCCCCATTCCATCTGAGCTGGGAATGATTACATACCCCTATCCTGCTTCTCCCAGAATATACCTTCTACCTTCCTCCTGTAGTGTCCCAGCCATTTCCTATCTTCATAGTTCTTACCATACACCCGCTGCAAATGGATGCCAGAGCCTGGGAAGAATAACTGGTTCCAACACTGCTTTTCTCAAAAACAAAATCCAGTGAAACTCTATCCTCTTTCCGAAGACCATTATTGGCCGATAAAACAATTTCCCTTTTCTGAAGTTGATATCAAAGAAACTACACCTCCCAGTAGCTTCTCAGGTCTACAGCAAAGCGGCCTCCAATTCAGGTCATCAACCTAAGGCATTCTGGGAATTGTAGTTCTCTGCTCTTTCCAGTAAAAATATTGGCAGGGCTGTTGACATAGACTACCTCATTCATGTCTAGGGACCCCAGACTGTTTCACACCTGGTTTCCTCTTCAGTAGGTACTGAGCCTCGATGGCAGTAATCTGGGACACGGTGGTGAAAACATGAGCACAGTGGGCCGCCGCCCGCTCCATGCAGTAGCGGTGATAGATCTGCCTCTCGCCTGCTTCTTTGTCCACGTTGAACTGGGCAGGAAGGGAGGGCAGTCAGGTTAGAACTGTGGAAAAGATGGCAGGTTCAGACTCCTGAGTCCTAGGGGAGGAGGGGACTGGAGGCTGGACTACTGGATCTCAGGGAGAAGGGAGCCAGGGACTCGGACGCCTGGGTTCTGGGGGAGGAGCGAGCTTGATGCCCTTGGGCTTCCCAGGCAGCGTGGGGCTGTCCTGAAATACTTGCAGCCCCATGTGCCACACTCCCAGCTCACATTCTCCAGGTTGTTGTAGAAGTCCACGGCACCAGCACACAGGTAACGCCCCAGCAGCGTGGCATGAGTGGTGAAGATTGTTGCCACAGGCAGCCGCCGGGCACGGCACAGGCAGAGCCCAACGCCTGCCAGCCACTCGTGGAAGTGTGCAACCACATGTGGCTTCTCCTCACTCTGGGCCAGGAACTACAGGGCAACAGGAAGAGGGCTGCTGAGTCTCCATGTTTGTCATGAAGACAATCAGCAATTCCCGTCTTAACTGAAGCAGGGGAGAGGTAACTCTATCGCCACTACCACACAAAGTGGGCGGCAGCCCATTGTAATTTCTACAGGACCAGAACTATAAATCCTGGAGGCAGCTGGACCAGCTGACCTCATCCCCACTGGCTGATGGGAGCTGGGGTGTCTTCGTCAGAGGTCCCAGGAGGGCTAAATTGCTGAACTGAAAGGCCTGAAGATTTAGTGTCCCCATGTCCTGGACACAATTCCTGAAGATCTTTTATTTTACTCAAGAGTAGACATGCATCCAGTATTGGCTGAGGGACTAAAACTGCCGGAATGTCCTAGGAGCAGCCAGTTCATAATCTGTCCTGAGGCATGGGAAGCAGTTTCTTGAGCCCTTTAAAACTTAAAAAGAAGTGGAGCCAGGATTCCTGTTCTTAACGAGGCAGGGGACTCCCAATATCTAGGGCCCCTTCTGAGAGCTAAGTCCAGCCAGTTAATTCCCAGAATTCCTTGGAGAAAGCCCTCCAGCCAGACTATCCTCCCCAATGGCTCAAAATCCCTGTACTTGGAAGACTGGAGTGAATGAAGCTGGGTTAAGGTTTGAATCTCTGAGGAAAGAAGAGTCTGGGCCCCTTAAGGTCCATATTCCCAAAGGTCAGAACTAATCCTTGGATAAAAGGACCTACAACTCCCAGAATGCCATGGGAGAAACCAGCCACCCAGCCACCCTCTTGCTAGGGGCTGATGACTATTGGGTCTGGGGTTGAAAGGACTAACATGGGACCAGCAGTGGGGCCTACCTCACCCAGGAACCAGGTGGTGAGGAAGCCAAAAAGGACAGCGTCGTTGGCCTCACGGTCGTACCAAGGCACCCCGATGTTGCAGGTGTCCCAAAGCTCCCCCTTCCAGCGCTCCAGGGCCCAGGCTGAGGCCCCCACATCCAGGAGCACCACCAGGGGGCCCCCCTCGATCAACCAGCGCCCAAAGTACACCTGCAGCGGTGGAGAGGGGGGAATCCAGAGGGTGGCTCAGGGATTGGACCGCAGGTCTCTGGGCATAGTCTCGGGGGCGCTCCCATCCGCAGGCAGATGTTGGGTCTCATTGCCTCATTCTCCCACCTGTTTCTGCGTCTGCTGATTTCTCACGGGCTGCCTTATCTCTCTCGTTGCCGTTAAGGTATCCCCACCACAATTTCTGTTGCATTTTCCTGGTACCCCGCTTAATTTCTCTAACTGCTTCCTTTCTTCTTTCTCTGCCTTCTCTCTCTCCTTATAACCACATAGTTTACACACCCTATCTCTGTGTCCCCGTCCCGGCCTTGATATCCACCTTGGGAATCATTGCTGTGACCTGCTGCCTTGTTTCTGTGTTTGCTGTCACATTTCTCCCACCACCCATCATGTTTCCTCCCATTATCTGTTCTCTCTGCTGCTGATTCCTCCGACTAGATGCCTCCTTCGCTGTTCTCACGGTCACATTGCTTCCACCTGCTGCCTCTTTCCTGTGCCCTTAGGCTCATTTTGTACCCTGCGGCCACATCTCTAATGCTGTCCACCTCTCTCCACGCTCCACGGCTGCATTTTTCTACCCTCTGCCATGTTTCAAAGCCTGACAATCTCATTTCTTTCTGCTCCCACCCCATTTCTCTGGTCCAGTGCTTCTTGAGACCTGGCCTAGGTTCTGGGCCTGCTGCCACAGCTCCACGCAGCCAAGAAGTGGTCATACTGCTCTCCAACCTGGCTTTTCCCAGCCTCAAGAGCCTGACCCGGGTCCCCTCCCCCTCCCAGCTGTTGTCTGCCCTTTTGCTGGGGGGGCTATTCTTAGGCCCCCAGCACGTGGGGAGCAGCTGCCATGGGGGAGGGCCAAGCTGTCCCTGGGTTCCTTAGGAACACTATGGCCTGACTGGACTCGAAACCCCACCGAAAATCAGAGGCTGCGAATGAATGAAGGACCTAGTGTAGCTGTCCTCCCAGGCCCAACCTGCCCGTACTCCAGCCCTGCTGCCCCAAGGCCCTCCATGCCCATTCATTCATCAGTCCTTCTCGGGGGCTCCAGGACTCCCCTCTCCTCTCTTTAATTCCTGGCTCTGCCCATCCAAAACTCTGTCCCCTTGGTTTGTCTGTCTATCTCTCTTTTCTTCATTAGTACTCCATCTTCCTCTCTCCTTCTAGGTTCTTTTCTGATACATTAGGGCTTCTTCTCTTCTGTACCTAGACTCTGTCTATCTCCCTACTGCTCTAGCCCCTGGGGCCACCATCACCTTTTGGGGCTCAACGTCTCTCCCTTCACCTGCACCCCTCACTCTGCAAGCTTGGATGTTTACAGTGATTACGCTGATGATAACCGTGACTGTCACAGCTCATACACGGTGCCGACTTCATGCCAGGAATGGGGCTGAGGACTTTATGAACTATTTCATCCTCCCAACAACCCTATAACATAGATGCCATTAGCATGTTCATGAGCCAGGGTCACATGGGTAGGAAGTGGAGACCACAAATCTGAATTTCAGGCTCCGGAAGCCCCACTCTGGCATGCCTGCCTCACCCCAAACCTGCCTCCCCTCGGTTCCATCTGACTGGCTGGCTTTCTATTTAGCTCTTTCTGGATCTGAGGATCTTGGCCTCTTGGACCACTTTCTCAGTCTGTCTTACACCTGCCGTCTGTCCATTCACCAATGTCTTTGAGCTTGGGACTCACCTACCCACTTCCAGGGATTGGGTATCGGGTTGTGTATCTGAGTGTCTGTAAATCTCACCTCCTCTGTATCTGCCTGGGGAAAGTACCAGGCCACCCCAGGTTTCTGCCCAGGCCACCCCTCCACTTCCTGGACTGCCCTGCCACTACCCCTTCTCCATCTCCTGCTCCCACCCTGGCTACGGGCACCTGCCTTCCTCCCCTCAGCCAGGCCATGTCCCACCTTGCAGCCCTTGTTGTTCATGGAGTCCAGCGTCCTCTTCAGGGCTGGGGTCGGAGGCTCAAGCAGTTCCACCTGGGTCCTCACACCCTGCTCCGTGTATGGTCCCACCAGGTAGTAGTTGTCGCCCCACTCATCCCCGGTCACCTTCGCCTTCGTCTGCAGCACCGTGTAGATGCCACCCACTGTGGGCCCAAGTGTGTAAGGCCAGGCCCCAGCGGAGGTCCACAGATCTGGGACTTGGGGCAGGGTCAGGGGCCATGGGAGGCATGGAGCCCCAGACCCCTGGCTTAGAGGGAAGGGGGGACTGGGAGCCCCTACTTCAGAGTCAGAGGAAGGATGGGCTGGGGTTCAAGGGCAGTACTCCTGGGTCCCAGGGAGAAGGGGGCTGGGCTCAGGACTCAGACAGAGGAGGGGACTCAGGCTAGACTGTGGTCTGAGAGAGGAAGGGGAGGGGGCTTGGGCTCCTGGGTCTGAGGGATTTGAGGGCTGAGCTCCAAGGATGACAGAAGCTAACAAAGATTACCAGGACCCAGGTTCCCCAGGTCCCAGTTCCCAGGAGCTGGTTTATTCTCAGTCAGACTCCAGGACATGCGAGATTCTCTCTTCATGGCCTGACTCAGCTTCCCACAACTGCCCAAGCAAAGCCTGAACTGTCTGTCATTCTTCACCCTCCAGGGAAACTACCAACCTGTCACCCAAATCTCCTTTCCCCAAATGGGGCACAGACATGCAGGGCCCTGCCCCATCCCATGACCCCACTCCAGACCCAGAGTCAGGACCCCCCACTCCTTACCTCCTGGAACCTGGGCCCTGGTGACACATGGCTCCATTGTCTGTGGGCTCCTCCCATGGGGTGAGAACCAGTCCCTTTCTTTCCCCAAGACTCAGCAAAGCAAAATCCCAGCCCCCTCCTCCGTGAGGAGCAGAGATTGCCTAGCTCCTGGGATTCCAGCCTCCACCAGCTCTCCATACCAGAACCTCAGGCCCTTTGGAGCCCGGGACACAGAAGTCCAGAGCCCCAGCCACTCCCACCCCAGAGCCCAGCCCCTGACCAACTTAGGACTTCCCACCCTTCCCTCATTCCAGTACGTGTGTGTCTGAAGCCACAGGTGCCTCCACTCCTCGCAACTCTTAGGTAAGGCCCTCAGCTCCTTCAGAGCCTGGGTATGCAGAGCCCCAACTCTCCCACCCTAGTATCTAAGAATGAGTCGCCAGCCTCCCCACCCCCATCTTTACTCTCAAGTGATCAGTTCCCCAAATTTTCCCACCATGCCTAATGCATCCTATCTCCCAGTCAGCTCTCTCCCAAATCTGGAGTGAAATCTCCAGCCCCTTCCCCAGAACCACAGGTCTGAAACCCAGCCACTTCCCAGATTTGCACGAAGTGCCAACCTCCCATCTCCATCCCTGTTCAGGATTCAGGTCTCTGATCAGCAACCTTCTCCAGGACTTAGGACTCTTTCATTTTAGCCCCCTTTTCCCTAGGGCCCAGGACCTAGGCTTCCAGCCTCCTTTCCTCTTGAAAGTCAGGAGACTCATCACCACCCCTCCAGGACCCAGGAGACTAACCCAGACCTTCCCCAAGGACACAGGAGTCATAGTCTCCTTGCCCACTACCCAAAAGTCATGCCATGTAGCCCCATCCCCCTAGAGTTCAGGCCCCCATCCCCGACCGCCCTTCTTGTTCGGGCCCGCCGCCTGGCGTGCTCACCCTTGTTGGCCACCTCCCAGGCCACCTCGAAGAGCACTGTGTTCTCCAGGTCGAATTCATCTTCCCAATCCTCTAGTCCTGGCAGTGAGGACATGGACAAACTGCGGCTTAGAGGCATGGCTGACGCGGGAATGGGGCTCCGGGGGCCACAGGTGGGGGGCCCGGAGGTGTCTGGGGAATGCACTCGGAAGGGCGCGGGTCCAGGTAGCTGTTGCCGGACGGGAAGCTTGCAACGCCCTCGGCTTCCTATTGCACGACCGCACCCCTGCCTTGGAGCGCACGGACCTAGGTAGGAGACGGTCGCAGCGTCACTGTGCCCAATGGGGCCCCTGCAGTGAAACCTTGCAGCCGCCAGGAGGAGGTGCCCGCCCTCCCTGCAAGCGCTATTGGTCCGCGTTGGGGGGCGGGGTTTTATCCGACTCCTCATTGGTGGATAGAGTAGAGTTTTACTCTGCCCCGCCTCCACTTTAGCGGTCTACTCGAGCTCTGGAGGGCGGGGCCTATCCCTGAGCTAGCTGATTGGCCTTCAACTCTGTCAATTCGAAGCTTGAGCCCCAAATTTGGGAGGGGAAGAGGAAGGAATAAGGAGGAAAGGGAGCGTGGGGAACGTGTGGTTTCCTAAAGAAGTGTTAAGAATTTTGCAATCGGTCCCAGCAAGGAGATCTGGGTAAAGGAGGTGCCAGGAGGCGTTGGGAACGGACCCAAGAGTTCCGGACACCCACCTTCCAACTCAACCTCCGAGGATGGGCGGGGCCTAAAAAGTGACACTACGCCCCCACAGGGAGAGTTTGTATATTTATGAGGAAACACCGAGATTCTTGGAGGACCTCGCAGTCTAGAGGGACCCGAACGCCTCGTTCCTAGCGCGTTTCCGTTTCCGCAAGGATATTGGCGGTTGGTGAGCATCATGGCAACCGTGGTGAGTACCGGCGTGCGGAGGACTGAGGCGCGATCCCGTATTGCGGAGTCTGAGGGAGGAGGGGACTTCTGTATCTGAGCGGGGAAGGCTCTGGGGCTCGGACCCCTGGGTCTGAGGGAGGAGGGGGCTGGGTGTCTGTACCCTGGATCTGAGGGAGGGATCTCATCCTGCGTTCAAGGAATCCTGGGTTCAGGTGGCTCTCCACCGCCTCAGTGGTCACAGGTGACTCCATCAAGTTATAGAAACTCCAGCTTCCTATCCTCTGGGCGCAATCAATGGCGACTTCTGCAGCCCTTTGCCCTAAAGTCTGCTGCGGGTTGTTGTGTCTTGGACCCCCCAGCCAATATTTCCCGCATCTCATTTGGTGCATACTTAGTGTGGATGCTTAGTAAATTATCATTTGAATATCTGAATGAATGAATGCTTGTGAATTCCATGAAGGAGCAATAAAGTAAACTGCCTGGCACCAAATACTTGCTCGAGCAACGTCTGAATGAAGAAGGGATGTGGCCTTAGTTGCGGGTTGGACTGGGCTTTCAGATGCCTCCGTTCCCATGGTGACCCCGTTCAGCATGGAGGGAGGGTGGGGGCGATAGTTAGTGGTGCCAGGAGGGGAAATTTGAGTCTACCGCTTCTACCATGGCAAAGAAGGGTGGACAGGGAAGCAGAAGAGGAAAAGACAGCGGCCACACTCCTGTTCTCAGGGGCTCGGAGAAAGTATTGGAAGAATGTACTGAGTTTTAAAATGGCCCGTTTCCATGGGGTCATTGGGCAGCAGGGTGTAGGAGAGGCTTAGCGTGAAAGGAAAGGCCTTGTATCACTTCTCAGCCTTTGGCTGAGGTCAAGTGTAGTGTCTGTTCTTATCGGTTTAATATCTGATATGTCCTCTATCTGAGGACAATGTGTTGAATAGGATACACTGTCTACTCCACACATTGACCTTATATTGCAGTGCTTCTGGGAATGGTGCACCCCCTTTGGGGGCAATAAAAAAGAAAAAGAAAGGAAAGGCGTTGTAAGAGGCAGATCTGTTTATGTTGTGATTGCTAAGAGTTGGGATTCCTGGATCCGTGTCTAGTGTTTGTATCCCGCGGGGTCTGATAGATTGTAGGGGCATGTGCAGGGACTTTCTCAGTCTTCTGACAGTGGTTTGGGGGCAGTGTCCAATGCTCCTGGGTTCCTGCTGGCGATGAGGAGGGAGTAGGTGGGAGGGGTCACAGACAGCAAGGAAGGTATCTTGTGAGTGACCATGTGGTGGCCAGGAAGCCTAAACTCTTGTTTCCGGAGAGAGGAGGCTCCCACTCGGTTGGATGCCTGCACCTTCTCTCACTCTCGTGGAAGGAGACCTGTGGAAAGGAGGAAGGGTTGGGGGCAGGTGGCCACAGGGCAGGGTCAGCAAGCTGGCAGGCAGCTCAGACTTCCTTTTTCTTATTAGAGATTATGACATACTCCAAAGTGTCAGAAAATTATATAGTACACACTCAGACTTTTTTAACAGCTCTATTGAGATCAGATTCACAACTTGCCCATTTCAAGGGTACAGTTCATATATATTCACAGTTGTGTGACCTTCACCTCATTCAGTTTTAGAACACTTTTATCACCCCAGAAGGAAACCCCACATGTCTTAACTGTCATGTGCCAATACCCCCATTCTTCTCCTGCCGGCTCTAGGCGACCACTAAACTTACTATCCAAATGGATTAGTCTATTCTAGACATTTCATATAAACAGAATCATACAGTGTGTAACCTTTTGTGTCTTCTTTCACTTAGCATAATGTTTTCAAGGCTCATCCACATTGTGGCATATATCAGAACTGCTTTCCTTTTTATGGCTGAATAATATCCCATCGTCTATATGTGCATATTTTGTTTATCCATTCATCTGTCAATGGACATTTTGGGCTGTTTCCACTCTTTGGCGAGTATAATTCCCAAACTGCCTGTGATTTTCCTGGTGATGCAAGTTGGCCCTCCCATGTCTCCAGGTGCCGTGTGAGGGGGGAAGGGGGCTGGGAAAGGGAGGAGGTCATCGAGAAGGGGCGGGCCTAGGCGTCCGTGACTCCAGCGCTGGGCCAGCATCCAGGCTCTGCCCCACCGGCCCAGAAACTCCAGAGAATCACCCCTTTTCCCAACCTCTTTCTAGCCTCAAACTAAAGGGAAGCTGCTGAGTTAGGCTCTCTGCTGAGCTGCTCTAAGCAGTGGTCCCCAAATGTGGGGTATAAACATGCTCCCTCTCCTGATCTAGTCTGTACATGTTATTTTGATCAAATGAGAAGGAACAAATGAAGTCATCTAACCATGATCCTCTTGTCTCAAATGCAATCGGCTCGGAAAATGCTTATTTACGCGTGAAGTCTGCCAAAGGGTGTGCGCAATGACGGCAGAAAGAGTGTGAATCCTGCGCATTCAGGGGCTGCTGTTTTCATCCTCTTTGCACACCTGAACCCCTCGAATTGTCCCAGGTGGTGGTCATTCATCTCCCCAATATGAGAAGGGAGGGTGGCTGACTCCTCTCTTCGGAGAGCTGGGACATAGGGAGCCTCAGTAGCTGCTTGTCAGATGAGCCTAGCACGTCAGTACGTTATACTCAAACCTGAAACACTGAGCTCCAAAGTGAACAAGCAAACCGGGGTCCATGTCCTTCATAGCACTCACTCCCCTGGAGCCAAGAACACTGACCCATCAGCCTCCCTCCTGAAGGTGAGATTACACAGTGAGATTGGGCTCTCAAGGGGTGTACTTCCTTCTGTCTGGACACCCAGAGACCCTAGAACTAGCCCAGCAGGGGTAGAGGTCAGGGGTGGGAGGGCTCCCATAGTGAGCGCTGCTTGATCTAATTCAGTGTGGGGGGTACAGGCTGGACTCGGGACCTGCACATGCAAAGGCCCAGTGACAGCCAGGGCAGCGCCGTGCAAGGAGGGCTGGGAAGTCAGCAGGGGCCAGACCACCTCCAGTGTGATGCCTGCTATGCCTTGGTGTCCCTTACAGTTGTGGGGAGCAGGGGAACTTATTCCTTCACCATATAATTCCTGGGCACCCAATATATGCTGGGCCCTGGGGTTGGAGCTGTGAATGAGGCAGGCACAGCCCTGGCTTTCCTGGGACTCATAGTGTAGTGTGGTCAACCAACCAGCATCAGTCCGTTACAACTGGGAAGCGTGGGAGTGACTGATGTTTGGGCTGTGGGCCTGCTGTGGGGAAATGGCATGGAGGGGACTTTCTCGGAGATGGGCGGGAAGGGCAGAGGAATTGGTGAAAACTAGGACCACAAGGGCTCTTCTGACACATCTTCCTCCACCCCAGACGGCCACAACCAAGGTCCCGGAGATCCGCGATGTGACGAGGATCGAGCGTATTGGTGAGTGAGCATGCAGGAGTAGGACCTGGACCCTGCTTGCCCAGTGCGCCCCTGACATAGCCAGCCTGCCCAGGTCCCCCAAGATGGAGGTGGCCTACACATCCCCTGTCTGACGGGGGCGGACCCTGAGTTCCAGGGTGGGGTTGAATGGCACATGAGGGACCATGTTGGTGCCCAGCCTCAGGCTGCACTGCTGCTGGCGTGGCTACCCTGGCTGGGCTCGGGGGGTACTGGCATCTTGCTGGGAGATCATACAAGTGGACGCTCGCCTGGGGTTGGCCCTGAACTGAATGCCCTACACGCCCAGCACACACTGGGTGGGACATTAACTGTGAGGGCAGAGACCAGCTCTCATTCACTTCTAGCTGTTGTCCCCAGCACAGAACCTGGCAGAGCAGATGCTCAGCACATGCTCATGAAGGCATGAGATTGCATCCTACTGAGTCCTCGCTGTAGCCTCTCACGATGCATGTTGTGACTGTCATCCCATTTTTAGCTAAGGAATCTGAGACTCAGAGCAGCCAAGCACTGGTCAGGGCTCACAGCCAGTGGGCATAGCAGGGCCAGCAGGGTGCGTCCTTCACAGAGAGCTTTACTTACCCAGAGGAGACTTCTCATCGCGTCACATTCATTCATTCTGTGCTGCCAGGAGAGGCAGTAAAGAGCTCGTGGCTTCTGGGAGCACCCTGCCATGTGCCTTTCTGAGCTGTGTCACCAGGGGCTAGTTGCTCTGGGTGCCTCAGTTTCCTTATCTGAAAGTGGAGCTAGGATAGTTCACCTCATGGGTTGATAATGGGGATCCATATGAAGCATTTAATGTGCAGGGGCTAACCCTGTGTCAGCTCCTACAGGCCAGGCCTGCTATAACTGAGGACCTTATGGACACTAGCTGCACCCAGGACCAGCCCTCAGGGTGCTCACAGTCTAAGTACAGGGTCAACAAATCTTTTCTGAAAGAGCCAGAGAGTAAAACTGTTCTTTGTGGAAAATCTTCAGTTATGCTGTTGTGGTGTGAAAACAGCCAGGCACAGTATGTAAATGAATGGGCATGGCTGTGTGT